GAGAGAGAGAGAGAGAGAGAGAGAGAGAGAAGAGCGGAAGAGTGACGTGTCAGCTTGTGGGGGAGGAGCCTCGATCGGGGGGAGGAGCATGCCGCTGCCGCGATCGCTTCCTCCCAGCTTGACGCTGACGGACGTGGTAAGTGAGGCTGGTGGTTCCCGCCGCCGCTCTGCAATTGGGACGGGCATCCCTGTCTCGGCTGCCTCGAGAGCAGCGGGGCCTCTGCGGAGCCCCCGATCCCCAGCGCTTCCTCAGGTCAGGAAGCAGCTGTTGCCCGGTCAGCTTCGGCTGGGGGGGGCATCAGGGGCCGCCTGCAACCCCCACTTGGTCCCAGGTGCAGTTAGACACAGAAGAGCTGCTCGTGCCCGGTCGGTCGCACAGGCAGTTTGACCCAACGGGTTTGCATTTCTGTTATTTCCTAGACTTATACGGCTGCCCACTGCGCAGGAGCGCCTCTGAGGGCCTTAACCTTTTGAAGAAGCTTGACAGCAAGGAGTTAAAAATAAAGCTAGAATAAGATGATAAAATAATAAACCGTTTGGGATGTTAAAAAACAACAGGGAATAACAGAATCACAGAGATAACCATAATAACAGAAGCAACCAAGGCCAGCTAAGATGTACAGGTAGTCCTCATTTAGCAACCACAGTTGGGACTGGAAATTTAGTCATTAAGCAAAGCAGTCGCTAAGTGGGAAATCACATGACTGCAACTGTACTTACAATTTCACACAGGACAACACATACTAACTGACTGTAATGGTGAAGACGTGATTGAGAGAGAGATGCTGCATGGGTCATAAATGGGGGCATTGGTCACAAAGTTACTTTTTCATCACTGTCATAGCTGTGAATGGTCACTGTCTGAGGCAGTCACTAAATGAGTACTACCTGTATCTCATTTAAGGGTCTTACACTCCATGTGGGGTCATCCTGTGGCCTGGGGATGCACACAATCTCCATATTCCTTGTGCAGATCCTGGAACTTATGACCATTATTACTACAAGTTAGGAACTGGTACCTACTACTGTGAAGCAAGAAACACTGTAGCAGAAACCCTAAAATAGGCTTAACATTTAAAAAAACAAAAGAAACCTCCCAAACCATCCCCACAAATATCCTGGAGAAAAAATAAAAATGGGAAGTCCTCTTCACATATGTAGCATGATCCCCCACACTTTGGACTATTGCCAGACTCACTGAGGCCTTGATCACTCCAGAATGGTTAGGATGGTTCCCAATCTTGGGCCAATGTATTGTGGGAACTCAATCTCTATAATTTGATAGCTTAGGATAATGTGTGAGCATAGCATTATGTCTTACTCAACCAGCTGTGGATAAAAAAATCATGGTAATTGAAAATCATTCAGTTGCTAGATTTTCAGATGGTAGGTTGAATCTTTGAGCCACATCCCATGACAATTTATGAAAATTTTCAACCAACCCAGGAACAGTTCAGTTAATTGTTTTTTCTCTCCTCCTCCCTCCAATAGGTCATCTTAGAAACTATGGACATACTTTTTAGAATAAGAGGAGGCCTGGATTTTGCATTTCAGTTAGCCACTACTGATGGTGAGTCTGTAGAAATACTAGACACTGTGTTATATTATAAAGAATCTTTCTGTAGAAAAGTTGGAAAGGTAATTTTGACCCCACTGTATCAACAAAAACTATTTTAGCAAAATTAGTATGAGAAACACATTTTTTGGAATAATGTAACTGGGCAGGTTCATTCAGAAGCAAGTCCTACTCTTCTCAGTAGAACTTTCTCCTTTCCAAGTATATTAAGGACCGAAGCCCAGATGGCTAGGCAGTTTACTTCATAGGTTTTCTGCTCTTATTAGGAAATTCTTTCATGTTGAAATGCTTAACTGAGAACCACTTCTTCCATTTTCTAGTTAAGGGATAAGCACACGATTGTTCCTTATCTTCTTTCTAAGATAATTCTGACTACCTAAAATCTACAGCTAGCTCCCTGTCCATTTCATCTCTTTTTCCTTTCTCTGTTGGTTTCAGATTCTTCCACAAAAGAGGCACTGAAATACATTTTCAGGGATGTTTCAGCCAAACTGGCTTCTGATGTGCTGGTATTCAGGATTTGTCACAGCCCAGTATATTTGTGGCCAAACAGTGGGATGAACTCAATGGCAACTGAGCTTTCAGATGACTCTGCCTGTAAGGAGATACTACAGTTTATTCAGTGAGTATGGCTAGACAAAAATAATAATGCTCTTGTGGGTGGGGATGGAGGTAATATAATAATTGGTCATTATACATTCATTCTGCCACTGTTTTCCAGATTTGAACAAGATGGGACTAAACACAGGTTTTCAAGAAAGAAAGATAAAAAGTTACAAGAGGTGGTATGTATATCTTTCCTTGCTATAGCATGTACTCTCCTATAAAGTGAAAAAAGAATCCATTATTTCCAAGTCTGTTTCTTGATTAGGCAAGTCTTTGTGAAAAGCATAATATATTTAGTCTTTTTTCTTTTGAAATCAATATTGGGTTTTTTAATTTATATTGGAAATTGACTCCTAGGAAAGGTGATGGGTTTCCCTCCCTGCCACTTTTCTGATCTAACTTTTTCCCCCCACATTGTGACTTCATCTGCTGGGGAAACAGTACCTCTGGAGTGATTTAGATTACAATGTGTACATTAAAATCTTCTTTATTTTCAGCCAACTATAGTAAATATTGATCTCATGTTGGAAATTACAACATCATTGGAGCCTTTGGCTCCAGTCATTGAAAAGGAAAGCAAAGAGCATCACTACGTAAGCATGACATTGCCAGTTGATGTTGTTGTCTCTGTTTCTCCTGAAGAAACATGGCGCAAGTAAGTAGGTTCTGTAACTGAGGGTGTATTTTTAACCTTTCTTTAGCTTGTTTCTATTGTAGGATTATGCACATCCCAAATCTTCGAATGGTGAGAATTTTCAGGCATGCAACTTTAATGTAGGTTTGTTCTCCTTTATAGTGAGTTTTATAGTTATCAGCTGGTGTAGGCATTTGGTAGCATTTTCATTTATTCATTTGTTAAAAAACTCTGTCTCCTTTGTCATTAAAAAATTCAAAAACAGGTTGCAATGAATTAAAAACCAACAATTAATGTTAATACACAACTAAGTCAGAAAGGCATAGGACCACAATTTAACTGAAAGACCGGTTGATGCTTCAGATAGAAAAGGTTTCTGCCAGCTGTAGTTGAACAGTGAGGGAATTCACAATTGGGGCATTTGGAGTAGAAACTCCCACATGTTGGTCCCCATAGAGCAAGTTCCACACAGATGTGGCATCTATAACTAGGGTTATATCAAACACAGGTCCTAAGCTGCCTCAAACTTCATATGTCACTACAAATACTTTGCAGTGCCCTCAAACGGGGATACATTTTTAATAGTAACTTGCCCTTTACAACAGCCTACCCCCAATATCGTGTTCTAGCTGGAGCAACATCACTAATGCATTGCTATAATTCAGTCTTAATATTACTGTTCATTTACAAATACAGTTTGAAGAATATTTAGAAGCACAATGTAAAGTAGTTTGCCTGATATCCCAAAATGTATTGCTTCAAAATTGGATTTCACCTGCAGAATCCTGAAATGCTTCCTGAGGAACACTGCACCTTTTTCTAAAATGGATTAGGAATCCAGTATAAGAGTCAGATTCTTAAAAACTTGTAGTTAGTTCTCTAGGTTTGCTGTATGAATGCATTACAGTATAGCCTCATTTGACAGTACAAATGAATTGAAAGGCAGATATCAATTTCCAAAATGTATTTGGAGACCAAGCATGTAAATCAGACAGTACACTGCTAAACATCTTTACCAGTGCATGTTCTGTAACATCTATAGGAATTGCTTTACTCTCAGTGCAGAAGATCTAATGAATGGAATATGGGAAAAAATTATTCTCCCTTGATGTTTTACAGTGTGAGAAGCCTCCTAGTGAATGCAATTCACACACAGCTAGCAGATGTGGAAAGATGCATTTTGCAACATATGAGAGGAACATCAGTTGTGGTGCCTGAACAATTTCATTTCATGTTACCAGGAAAAAAACATCTAGTAACAGTTTCATTTCCTACAGGCATTTCTGACGATCAGCTGGAGACTTACAGAAAGGTATCTGATGCTAAGCAAAATATTTTGAATGATTAAACTTTTATTGATCCTTAAATCATACAAGGTTACTAATACATGTTTCCCTTCCTCTGAACATGAATTTCAAGAGTTGATTTGATTCTAATGCATGTAAGGTGTTTTACTTTTTTGTAAGTAAAAGAATTGAAGTATAAAAGAGTAGGGCAGGAAGCCTCATGGGTTCCAAGGAAGGAAATTTGTAACAGACAAAAGAAAACATTGTGCATAATTATTCTGGGAATTCTCTATTGTAGGATTTGGTAATGGCCACTAGCTTGGTTGGCTTTAAAAGCAGCTTAGATGCATTAATGGAGGGCAGACAGATTCAGAGTTACCTCCAGCGTGTGGCAGCGTGTCTCCAAATAGTAGTAGCGGGAATAACGATGGGAGAGGATCTAACCGCACTTCTTGTTTGTGACACCCTAGAACCATCTGGCTGGCAAGTGTGAAAAACAAAATGTTGACCAAAGATGGCCCTTGGCCTGATTGAGCAGGACTACAGTATTTATGTTCTTAAGTGTGTGTGAAAAAATTCTGCCCCTAGATTAAGGATGCTCCTTTGCTTGAATGTGGATTTGGCTAAAATTTGTGATTGGTTTCTCATTCTGTAATGGCTGTTTTGGTTGATTTTAATTTCTCTCTTTTGTTTGGTTGGTTTGGTATATTTTCTAAATTGCTTTGACTGTATCAATACAGGGAAAGAGCTTTCTGGCCTCCTAGTGAATCAAATGTATCAAATGATCTTTCCATAGTAAGAGCTCATTATAGGGAAGGTACTTAATATTATAACATGCCAGTTTTGTACTAATGACAAAAAAGCAATTCACTAAGCTATAATAAAACAGTCTTAATTTTGAAAGTATAGTCAATGTAAAGCAGAAAAAAATGGATGGTTCTTTTAATTGATTTACTCACTCATCCTCGCCCATGTTTGCCTTGCATTTAGGAGTTACATGGGCAATTTAATCTACCACTTGATAGGCCTTATTTCCGAAGAGCTAATGCCTACCACTTTCCTGATGAACCTTTTAAAGATGGGTATCTCAGAAACCCACATCTGCATCTCAATCCACCTGGAATAGAGTCTGGTATGGTGAGTTTCATTTGTCCATTTCCTTGTTCTAATTTCAAGTCTAATGGCTGACCCTTACTTTCTGCTTGCCCCAGCATGAGGGCAGCCCACTGATCTTTTGGGGAGGGCAGGAATGGATGATGTCTTCCTCAGCCTGCCCCTTGGCTGCTGGGAAGGGGACCTCCACCCATCAAAAGTAGTGTTTTCCCTCTCCACTGGTGTAAGCAGTCTACCCGCTGCACTTCATTCCATCCTAACAAATGCCTCCATTCCACTTGGTGGAGGCATGCTCTGGCAGGTTTATGCACCACCCTACTCCCACCCACCCCCACCTTTGACAGCCTTTTTGTACTGGGCTGCCTACTGTGAAAGGCTGTACCTTTGGAGGAGTGGGGGGATCTTTTGGTTTGGGGATTAGTAAAATGTTGTTTCTTTGTTGTTTTTTAAAAACTGGGGTGAAATTGACAAGAGTTCTGCCAACTTTCCCTTTTTAGCCCATGAAAAACTGTTGTTCTCCCCACCCCCCCGCCATTCTAAAAGACCCACCCACAGAAGGAAAAGAGTTGACACCTGCTTTCCCTGGCATAGGTGGGAGAGGAAAAGAAGCAGGAGGATCCACAAATTGGGGGCCATGAGAACCACAGTCCAAAAAGAAACCCTGGCCATCAGAGTGGCCAAAATGAAGAAATGGGGGGTAGAAGATGAAAAAGGATTTCTTAAGCTGGCTTCATTTCCAGCTGGTTTATGTGTGGGAGACAAGCAGCTGAAGGTTGCAGTGCAGAAAAGCCCTAAGGCAGCTAAAACTAGAGACTGAGAACAGAAGCTACAGATACAAATATCAGATTTTTCTTCCTCTGCCTGTGAGTCAACATTAACAGAAATTAAAGGCACCCAACCATCAGTCCTCATCTACTGGCGTACACTTTTGTTTCTGATTTGTTCAAAAGCGGTTGGCTAGATCTTGTTGGGAAATCTCACAAAGTTCTCTTTGTACACCTTGACTTTTTAGAGGAATCCTTGCTCCCGAACTTTAATTTGAAAGCAGAATTGCTGTGATATCTTCTCTTAGCAGCTGTTCCAACTGGGAGCATCAGGAGAGACAGACTCATTCCATGGCCTTAATCATCACGAATCCCCACTTGCAGACCTTCTTCCCTAATTTAACTTGAACAACCTTTAACTTAAAAATAGCCTTTAAACTTGAAAATTTAGCTTGAATATTCAAACAACAACAAATTATTTTCAGTTTCATTATATATCTATATTTATATCTTTATCTATATATCTCAAAGGCAATATGTTAACTCTTATGCAAACTTATCCTAACATGTATAAACTGTGCTCTTTTTTTCGGACACAGGTATATTTGGTGTATGGCACATATAGTTATCATCATTACATGCAAGATTGTATTGATGATAATGGATGGGGCTGTGCTTATCGATCTCTGCAGACTATATGTTCCTGGTTCAGGCATCAGGGATACACAGACAAAGCAATACCTACACACAAGGAGATACTGCAGGTATAGGTGATTTCTAAATTTGGATTCCATGGAGGAAACAGCTACTACTAATGGAATATTTTATTTAAGCACTTCTGCCCACACTAGTTCTAAATCAGTAGTGTATGAACTTTTCCAGGCTGAGGGCCATCTTTGGCTATGGGGAGCATCTTTGACTTTGGGAGCAAGCCAGGTGCCTTATACCCAAAAGTTGGGGTTGGGGTCAGGACAAAAATTAATTTTGATTTCACTTATATTTACATATAATTACATTTAAATATTGTTAATGTAAGTACTCTCTAGTCCCATAACTAATCACATTTTTCTTCTATGAAATGAAAAATTACCATGTGATAATTTTTGGTGGTTTTAGGAACGGTACCTGACTAAAGGCAATGGCAGCTATCCATTATGATGCCAAAATTATGAAACATGTATCATATAGCAATACAAGCTTCCCTTCTGTATTTGCATAAATGTTGCACGCAAGTATGTAAGAAATAGAGTTTGCACTGCAGCATTGTGATTTTTTCTTTCTTTTCCCCCACTCCAGACACCTATGTACCCAACATTTTGGTGTCCACATGTAGCTCTCAGCCTTCTGAAGGTGGCCTGCCTTATAAGCAACTCTTTGTTCTAGATTGTAGATTATGAATGTGCTCCATCACTGCAGTAATTCATAAGATTACCAAGTCTTTGCTTAAGCCTGGTTCTCACCAAGCTGTAAATCTGTTCCTCATTTGTACCAATTTAGATTTCAGCTTGAGGCTCACTTGTTGGAATATCTGGTGGCTGGTTTTCTACATTTTACATTTTAATAGTGACCCTACAGTAGCTACAAGTAAACTCTAGGAGGAGCAATTCAAGTGTGAGAGGTTTGTGTGACCTTGTAAATGATCTGCTAATATTGATGTAGCCAAAGAAACTTATGCTTATTATATTACACAACTATTTTGCATGAAGCACTGAGCTAATTTAATTTTTAAAAATAAAATCCCCTTCTTACCCCTTGGCCTCTAATAAATTGGATTTGATAGAATCCTGTGCAACTGACTGTTATTCTATTCCATCTCTCTCTTGTGACACGATTGAAGGCACTTGTTAATGTTGGAGACAAGCCACCCAACTTTCTTGGATCATGCCAATGGATTGGTTCTATTGAAGTGCAACTTGTGCTGAGTCAGCTATTAGGGATAACTTCAAAGATACTGTTTGTCAGGTAAGACTACGTAGCAATCACCAACAATTTTGTGTTAATTTACTTTTATATATGGTACACCTTTGAGCTTTTTAGAGGAAAGACAGTATAAAAATGAAGTGATTGAAAAATAAGGATTTGCAGGTAAATTTTTCAAGGAACACACTATTCATGTACTACTAAACCACAGGTAAAGCTCATATCTCTGTCTTACAAGACTTTGGAGTCAGTACCTGCATGAGTACTGATTATGTACTTTGTTGATTAGTAAAATCTTACAAAAATCTATTAATTCTAGAGGGCTTAACATAATGGCAGTTAACTTTAAAATGGCATTAGGAAAGTAGTATTTTCTTTCGTACTCAACCCAATCTTGGTACTGTTGGTGTAATAATTAGCATAGTAAAATTGATTCCATATACATAATTTATTTCCTTTTTTCCTAGCTATTGTACAGATAGCATACAGTGTGATTTAGACCTTATTAAGACATTACAGCAGGAAGACAGTCCCAAAGATGTCTTAAGCAACTTCAGAGTGAAAACCAAGTTCTATAATCTACATTCAGAATTGGTGCTCTGACAAATACAACTTAATCTATCTCATTATAGGCAAATGAATATGGTGTAGTGTTTGTTCATACCTGATACTTGTCAGTTCACATATTTACATTAGTGTATGGTGGATCCATATCAACACTGCCCAGGTGAGAGCCAGTGTGATGTGGTGGTGTTACAATGGACTGGCATCAGGAAGACTTGGTTCAGGTCCCTTCTCAGCTAGAGAACCTCACTGGGTGACGTTAGGTCAACCATTCCCTCTTAGACCAATCTACTTCACTGTTGTGGGAAAAATGAGAGGAAGATGTGCTATGTGCATTACCTAGGCTCCTCAACAAAAGGTGGGATAAAGGCAGGCAGGCAGGCTGGATGGGAGATGTATCCAGAAAATAACAAAATTAAGGCTTAATTAATTGTGCATAAAATTATGGGGGCATTAGGTGAAACATCACAGTTTCTTGACTTTTTTGTGACAATTACATTGTTAAAGTTACATGGAGGGGACCTGATTTGACTCTAATTGATGGAACCTGAGAATGGGGGCTGCTATATTTCATTATACCTCTTTCTCAAATTCCCAGTGCTAAATTACCATTAGTGCTAATAGTGCTAGCATTAGTGCTAATTATATTTTTTTTGTTCATAGCCAGGGATCTGAACTGGCCTCTCAAGGAAGAGAACTTGCTAATCATTTCAAGACTGAAGGAACACCAGTGATGATTGGTAATTTTTTTTATTTAAAATATTTTACTGGCAGTTTATGAATTGGACTGAAGATCCTGATTTGCTTTTTGACTCCCCGGAACAATATTATTTTAGAATGTGTATTAGAATGTTCACTCATTTTTTAAAAAAACATGATTCTGGAAAGTTATGAAGTTTATAAAGAGCTACAAACTATCTGTTCCTGCAGATGACAGAGAGCATCCTCCAGCTTCATTTTGAAATGTTGCAGGCATTGGAATACCTGCTCATGTGATATGCTATAAATGTGTGTGCCATTCTTCCTTCTGTATGGCTTTTTTTAAGTGCAAAGATCTGTCTGCCCAGAATTTTGTGGTGTTTCCCAATTAACGTGTGAACCTGCCAGCTCCATGTTAATTCAATTTGAGTCCTACCATGACAACATACCTGGTTCACACATTATGCTAAGCCATAATGTAGTTTGTTTTGGGCTTAGTTTTACAGCACCTTTGCTTTTCTGGAGCATAGTGTACTTATTCTGTATTAAAAGTTACAGAAGAGGTTGACAAAGTGCGTAAGTTGAAAGTTTAAGAGGCAGGAAAATTAAGATGGAAAAGAGCTGAACTTTTGTTCAGCCAGAATTCTTTGGCCTATTTACTTGAACTGTAATTAGTAAATTTGCTTTTGTAGAATGAAAATCAAATTAACATTCTAGAATTATGTCACTTTCTTTTACATTCTTAGAAATTCTGCATTACTTTCTGTTTAAACCTCAATTTTATTATAGCAATTGACAGAATTATTTTTGTTCAATTCTTTCTTTCCTAGTAAAAATGGGGAGGGACTTATAACGACTTTCATTATCACAGGGTTCATTGGTATTTATAGGAAATTTCATGCTGGTTGAAAATGAATCTGCTACTATTATAAATAATTCACAACAAAAAATGTTTGAAAGTTTGGCTCAGCAAAAGAGAGCAAGTTTTCAAACTCTTTTAAGGGAAAAAAACCCAGGATAAATATGCTAATAATATCAAACAATCTGTAGAAATTTCCAAAGTTGACTTTTCCCAGGCTATTCTCAAGTTCTCATTTGATCATATTGTTTCAAGGTACTCTAGGGGTATTTTAATTTTTTTTTTTTTACTTTAACCATCTACAGATAAAACAATATGTATTTAATAATGAAAAAATAAGGTAATGCTTAATAAGCATGCTTCTGTTTTTCAAGTATTTGAAATATATTACCACATTCTAAAAAAAGAAACCTTGATCTATAACTGTGGGCTGGTTGGTTGGTTGGTTTCCCACTCCAATTCTAAGGAATGTATTATGCTATGCCAAATATTAATAAACCAGATTATGGTTTGTGTGATACAAGGTATGTGCAATTTCTTCCCCTTCTTCCTTATGATTACAGAAAAAGAAATATGTTTGCCATTCCTAAGATCCATGTTTACAATTAATGTCTAAAATGAGTCTGCCCTTAAGAATAATAAACATGATTTAGAAATTATGAGGTTTAAACCATAATTGGAATAGATCTTATTTACATCTAATTATTACGTTTGTAGGATTCAGTGATTGTAGGATTCAAAGCAAGAAAATTACAAAGTGAATATTCTCTTTCATTAAAATAAGCTACAATGAATACAGTGCAATATATTTCTGAGGAAATGTATATAACAATATATAGTTAAAAGGCTGAATTAATTAAAAAAATTAAACACAGGATTGAGAATCATGGCTTTATTTTAGCTTATTATCTTATTGGATTGTTTTTAAGCAACTTGATAGGAAAACCCCCCGCTGACCTGTGATTTCCTTTCCGTTCCTGTGTTGCAGTGCCTAAAGAAAAAAGATCTTAGGATCTTTGGCAAGATAAAAGATAATAGAGCATCTGACACTGATTGTTTCTGTGCCTTTTTGGAAAGGAATAGCCCTCAATTGGACATAATTTCCAAACACAACTGTGTGTAGTGGCCTTCTAAATTATCCATACATTGTGTTCTTTGCTATTTATTTTGACAAATGAAAGAGGTAGCAAGGATATACTCCTGTTAAGCATGTTCTCTTTATAAACTTTATAAAAATATTTTTATCAAGGATGGTACTTACCATATGGTTGGGAAGCAGGGTTGACCTCCATTCCCAAAGGCTATGTAAGTTGTGTGACCTACAAGGTGCATACCACCATCTGATCATGAAGAAAGTCCACATGGAAGTTCTGTCTTGCTAAAAGGGAGGAAACCATTGCACAAAGCAGTCCCTAATTGGGAATCAATGTGTTCATTATGCAGCAAAGGACACTGAAAATAAGCTGTATATATTGGTGGTCCAACAATAGTAATTTGCAATTGAATGCACTGCTTCAGCTTGTATGTTTTCTCTTGCCTTCCCAATATAGGTGGTGGAGTCTTGGCCCACACTATATTAGGGGTAGCATGGAATGAGATCACCGGGCACATTAAATTTTTGATTCTGGACCCACATTACACTGGTGCTGAGGATCTGCATGTTATATTAGAAAAGGTGAGTCTCCTTTCACGTTTGACTCAACTGCCAAAAACAGAGATTTTATTGTTTTGTTTGTTTAAGTACTGCATCCATACTCACTGTTCATAAATGTGTTGGTATTTTGTATAAAATTCCCAATTTTAATTTCCACATAGGAGAAAGGTCTTGTTAAAGAAATATATTACTGTACTGTGATAACACACCATTTTGTTTAAATTAACCTATGAACCAATGCAACCACGTTCACAAAATCCTCTTGAACACTGCTGCTTTCTTCAGTGCAAACTGGAAATATCTTAAATAGAAAATAGTTTAGCATATTGAAACTGAATTTAAATTAGTTTTAAAACATGTATAGCTTCCATATTTTTTTCTCATTACAGAGAGTCAGAATAAAGTGTTTTTTTTCTCTTTTAGCCAGAACAGAATGTATACTGTTATTTGTAAATTTTTCTCTTGAACAGTGAGAATAATCTTGAAACCATGTTCAAGTTACTGATTTCAAATTCTGCTTTGACTCACTTTTCTGGGGAAAAAAATCTCAGCATGTTTTCATAAGCTCCAACTAGGATGACCCTAACACACAATGTTCTGGGTGAACTGTTACACATTTGAAACTTACTTTGGTTTTCTATTGACTTATTAAAAGTCTGCGAAACAGTTGCTTACAGATTTTTTGTGTGTGTGGTTTTAAGAAAATAATTATATTACTTCTGGTTTTAAATTCAGCGTATTGCTTTATTCTTAACCTTTTCTTTTTTAAACAAATTCAGTAGCTTCTTTCAGTAAAGTATCAGATTAAACACATTGTTGAGTTAGATGCAATCCCTAATATTGGGAAATCAAAATGGAAACAAAAGCTGTTTTTTTAATATTAAACTATCAAAAGTTAATGTTCCCTTTGAATTGAGGTTGAGTCCTGACTATTTTAAGGGCACATCCATCAATTCAGTGTAATTTCTTGGCAATAATTGTTTTGCCATTTGTTACCCAAATTCAACCAATAAGAGTTCATCTCTGGCAAAGGCTGTTTTCTGTTTTTATGCATAGCTTTATTTTATTTATGACTGGGAGTTTACTGGCCATACTTATGTTGTAAACACACACCTAGTGAACAAAGCCATAAGCCAAATACAATCCTGTTATTTCAAAATGCATAAACTTGCTGCTGAGTAGCTTTGATTATAGCTTTAAAGCATTTTGTGCATGTATGAATATATAAAACAAAAACCAACTCTTTCACTAACATGCCAGCAATGGATTAAAGCATTGAATTTCTTTTTCTCTCCCCTTTTTTACAGGGTTGGTGTGGCTGGAAGGGTCCAGATTTTTGGAACAAAGATGCTTATTATAATCTGTGTCTACCTCAGCGACCAAAATGTATCTGAATACCTGTGTTGAATGATACATACTGTAATAAACTAGCTACTTTCTGTATATATAATGATTTATTTGTATTTAATATCAAGATTCTCATGATACCCCCACTGAAATAAAAGTACTGCTCCAGTATTTCATAGTGCAAATTATGTATAAGATTATTTTTCAAATAAAATCTGATTATATCCTATTAATTTTGAACAGCTTTTTGCTTTTATCATCTAATATTAACAACTCAGTTCTATACCTGTCTTTTGAAAATGACATACCCCCAGTTTAATGTTGAATATGTTTGCAATCTCAGACTGGCAGCAACAGAACTAAAAAGGTATAGCTATACCATAAGGTATTACAAAAAGGTTGTAGTGAAGTTCCACAAAATTTGCAGACAGAGGCACAGATATGGAATGTATTTTTTATCAAGGTAATACATATTTGTTTGATCTGAACAATGTTGATTTTCAAGATAGTATCCATCTCCTGCTTTGCTTGATTAGATGTGTGTTCACGTGTATAAAGAACATCGGTATACCAGTCACAAAATTAATGATATACATACACACACACACACACACACACACACACACAGAACAATGGTAGAAGAATTTACTGTATGTACATATTATTGTGTAAATGCAGGAATTATATAAAAAGATCTTCTTCAAGAAGAACACACTCTCCTTCTTAGAAGGCATTGTTCAAAATACTGTGTTGAGCTATAGATTCATGTGTCTTTGCAGAGCTTTGAGTATCCATATATCTCACACTTACTGATTTTCACATGACTCTGAGTTCACATCTGTATAAATGGAAAGAAAAGATTTGCTTTTCAAATGTAGAACCTGTTTTCCAATTAAGCATGCACTATAACATGTATATTACATCCACTTTCAACATAATGTATTCAGCCTTGGAAATTAATTTTGGCAGGTGACTATACAGCTCTGGTTTCTCTCTGCTTATGTAGATCCTTGTTCTTCCTCCCATAATAAACCAACCTTCTTCAATCTGCCATAGATATTTTAATTATTTTTCCAACAAGTACTGACTGAGGGCAGGGTACAAAAAGAATGTTAACAATAAAATTATCACTAAGGCTGTATCCATTTGCCTAGAATTAAGTTTCACTGAACTCAGAATTTATCTTTAAGTAGACATACAAAATTGCATCCTAAACTGATTAAAATTCCTAGAGTGCTGAACACCACATTAAAAATGGCAATTATCAACAGAAAACTTAGAAAAGAGAGAGAAAGCAATAAGTATACAAAACTAATAAATTCATAAGAGTACAGCTATATGTTTTAGATTTAAAAAGGAAAGTTTGGAGCTATATCCTCAAAATGTCAAAGGAGATAGTAGCCGCCACAGAATCCATTCCTTGAAAAGGTGGTATGCTCAGCCCTAAGGCCGCTACACAACCACATTACTTATTTCATCAAGTTATATATCCCTGGATCAAAATATAATTATAGCTGTTTTTGGATGTGGGTAAAGCACTTTGTATATTACTGTACCATGTTTCCTTAAATAAGAGGTCCCCCCAAACTAGTTCTGACAATGTACAAGATAGTAAATAATCAATTTGACAGATGTTCAATCAGGCTGAAATTTCACTAGTGCAATTTAATTGCACTAGACTTTAATGTTGTGCTTTGAAGAAACCCCCTTACCATTTGATTTCCTTCTCTTTTTGCCGATGGGTCTATTCATTTCACATGCTCGTTTCTGTCTTGTGGTGGCATCTGTATGGATGGATTCATCGCTGTCATGCAAGGAAGAGTCACACTGTGCTTCTGCTTTCTTGCTCTGAATCTGCTTCACTCTCATGAGGAACTGGGCGCACTCCAAAAATCCAAAAGCCAGTGCAAGGTCTTCTGCTGTTTGACCATTATTATTGCGCAAGCTGAAGCACACATTTAAAAGAAAATCAATTCATTTGTCTGGCAATCTTGTATTTCTCATACATCTAAACCATCATAAAAAAAATTTTTTTTAAATATTGGATAAAGTGTTGAGTTGAAACACTACAGCCCAAATGTATGTGTATCTACTGACAAGTAAGCCTCTTTGTAATCCATGGAGCTTATTTTTTTGAAATAATCATGTGTTACACTGGAAATAAATTCCATGTGAAACCAATTCTAAGAAGGCTTGTTTCTGGTTGCACATAAGTAGAATTAGACTACGTGAGTCTGATCCAACTGATGATCGTGCTTGTTCTGTTGAAATCAATACCGCAAGTTAAATATAATGTTAAGCTCTCCTGATTTCTGTGGGATTGAAGTATAAATTTACTTGTGCTGAACTAGAGCCTAAACATCTATTCTCTACCGAAAAGAACCTATTTGAAAGCCTCTTGCACCCAATGTGCAAAAGTGGTATTTTTGTAAGTTAAACTAAAATTCAAAGTTGGACAAAGGTAGGCAAGCTTTTTCACACTCTGAGTAGCCTGCCAGGGACAGCCTTTCAAAAGGGGAGGACTAGGCCAAAAAATTACTTTTGATTTAACTTACAATTAAATGCAAAAACAATGAAATTATTTGATGAAATTAGTACGGGATGCACTTACTCAATGCTCGCCTGACTGGCCACTAGTAAAGTCAGACATTCCAAACTCCCAACTTTCGCTGCCTTATGGATTGGAGTTTCTCCAAGCCAATCCTAAATAAAAAGAAATACCTTATTTGTAAATCCAATCCCTTCATCATTGTGCAGTGTCAATATTTTAAAAAAAGGGGGGGGGGTTAAAACAGCTTGATTTCAAGTGTAATATGATTGTCAATATTTTAAAAAAAGGGGGGGGGTTAAAACAGCTTGATTTCAAGTGTAATATGATTGTCAATATTTTAAAAAAAGGGGGGGGGTTAAAACAGCTTGATTTCAAGTGTAATATGATTGTCAATATTTTAAAAAAAGGGGGGGGGTTAAAACAGCTTGATTTCAAGTGTAATATGATTGTCAACCCCAGAATCCTGTCCCAGTACGTACTATTTACAAGTTGAAACAGAGTTTTGCATCCGGATGAGCTAAAAAGCATGCAGTCCTTGGGTTGGGCCCACTGAAACTTAGGACCAAACCTCCTTAGTTTGAAAATAATAGGTTTTACTTTTGTCCTTTGAAAAGTAGTCCTGGAAAGAAGTGACTGACTTAGGACATACACCTATTCTCTTAACAAAACGTTTTTCAATTCCCAGGACCAGAATTCCTAGTGTTTACTAATATTAGTACTACTGCATACTCAGTAGTAACCCTAACCAAATTAAAGCAGAATATTCTGAAACTACCCAGCCGTGCCTTCACCTTATCCGCGCCTTGTTCATCCTCTCAGGCGGCAACTGTTCCTTCCAACGTAAAATGGAAAAGTCAGGAGGTCTGAAAAGTTAAAAATGTACCTGTTGGTCCAGATTGGCTCCTGTCTGGAACTGCCAAAGCAGGAAGAAGGCATGGCCTCCACCGGCTGCGAGATGAGCTGGAGACTGGACAAAGGCGGCGGCCGCCAGGTTCACTTCGGTCCCTGCTTTCAAGAGAGGGCTCGGGCCGCGAGGCTACAAAAGAGAGGAGCATTTGAGGCACAGTCCTTGTGTGGATCCACCATGCTTTCTTTAGCAAAGGAATAAGAATGGGAAGCCTTACAAAAGACGAGCAATTTCCAAGAGAGTGACCCTTCCAGAATTGTTTGTAGTGGTCTTCTGAGCTTAACATTCCTAGGAGGATGGGTTACAACCAGTACCGTCGGAAAGCTGTTGAAAAATATACTAGGGCATTAACCCTAGTACGCTCCTTACCTCGGGGTTGCTGTCCCACAGCAGCATTGTTGCTCTTCTTCAGTACACTTGTCGCGAGAAGTTGCGGCAGGGCTTCTGGAGCGCTGCTTCCTCGGGCATGCTGGCGTAGCTGATGCCAGGACGGGCAGCCTCAGCCCAGGAACGCACGCTCGGGTTGCAGCCCCGCCCCTCTGCCGCGCACCGGCTTCTGCACGTACGCAAAGCAGAGCGCGGTTTGGCGCGGGAGCGGACTGGCTTTGCTCAAGCATCCGGTGCTTGTTATGCTTATGAGATAGGAGGAAGCCGGAAAGACTGAGGACAGGTGCGGCAGCCATGCGGCGCTGTGCAACTAGGCACGTCTCTCTCTCTCTCTCTCTCTCTCTCTCTCTCTCTCTCTCTCCCCCCCCCCCCCTCCCCCC